GATTATTTTAAAATAGATCAAATTTACTTATTATAATAAAAATAAAATAAATAGATTAGACAACTAGATAGAAAAAAATTATAATTTTATTTATTTCATAAATTAGTTTTCAAACTATAATATATTATTATATTTATTTTTTAATATTTAATATTTTGTTAATTAAAGCTTTTATTATTCTCATATAAGATAAATTGTTCTAAAAACCATGCGACCTTGAATATTGAGTAATGATCATTGTTAAATCTCTCTGTTTCTTATATCCACGTTATATATTAGATTATAATATAAAACATATTATGATAAAAAAAATATTAAAAGACTAAAATAAATATAAAATTAATATGCCATTAAAGAATTTAAGTTTAATTTATGAGAAAAAATTGTTAGATACTTCATACATTATATTTTCTTTAGGCTACATAATCACTTCGGTTGAAACAATATATAAAAAGAAGTGATTGTAAGAATAAAAATTGCCATAAACTTGGGGAAACAACAAGTGAGTCCCTTCCTACATGTATACCACACTGTATATAGATATACAGCTTCATGGTTTTTCAGAGCAGTTGAGTTGATACTGAATACTCTTTCTTATCATCTATACGTAGCTATCAGCATTATAGTGGGACAAGTTTTATGTGGCTAGTGTGATGCAACCAGTTGGAGATGACAACGAAACATGCATTTAATACGAGTTTCTTGGCCTATGGATATATATTGAAGAATTAGGGTTAAAGTAGTAGTTGGGGAGAAAAGCTGTACCATTTGGGAGTTTTGTGCAACTTTTTGAAAGTGACTTTCAGATTAATAAGTTGCCAACTTGGCAGACTCGTCTGTTTGTGTTGAAGCATGCATCATGCAACAGTGTGAATTTGAGCAATTCAAAACAACCCTGTAATTTGTTTATTATCTCAAACATACCTGCCAACCATGCTTCCATGTTCCATTTGGCAGATGGAAAACTTGGACTAACATACTCTGCACATGCATAGTTATCAAATCATGCATCGACAATTCTATTCAAAACATTGTTAGAGAATAAATTTAAATAGCTTATTTTAGTGAAGATTCAAACCTTGTTTCCCATGCTACTGATAATTAATTACTCTTGTTTTGCTAGACTCAACAACACTAGTTGTTGAAATATGTTTTCTCAATATCAGAGAAAATAAAAACGTACTAATAATGGTCTGGGAAAACAGCAGAAAAGGTCGTTTTAGCTTGTACCAACAAGACAATTTCAGGATTTCTGTGGTAATTTGTAAGAGCAGAAGTTATCTAAAATGTGACACTAGATCTAGCTGCTGGATAAAGTTAAAGATAGACAAGAGCATGTTCCAACAATTGCTAAGAAAAAAGTCTTGTACAAATGGGAAGGACACATTCTCCAAGTTGTATATATATATATATACTATTAACCCTTGAAAACCTTCAACACCCTGAGATCTTTGTGAGGATTCTCAGACCAAACAGTCTTGGATCACTGCTCATGCTTTTGTTTTGTTTTTTTTTTTCTTTTATTGTTTGCCTTTTTTTTTTAATCAAAATTAGTACTTTCTTTTATTAATGCTTATGCTTTAAAATAAGAAAAATGTTATGGGCCTTTTATGGGCCCAGACTGAGAGGCCAGTTTGCTAAACGTACAGGGGACAAACAACCACTGCTTGCCGTAGCTTGGTCCTACCGTTTTAACTAAGCATATATCCATTGAACAGTGCGAGTTTGGAAAATCGATCCCACCTATGTTTGGTAGGGGAGAAGAAATAGAGAGACAAAAAAAATTTGATAGGTAGAAAATTAAGTGAAATATATAAATCTATACGGAAAAGACTATTTCACCCTTCCATTTATTCACGAAACCGTGTTCCAACTATTTTTGTTGTTTTAAACATCTTTCCTTTTTTTAAACGAGGTAGGGATCGTCGAAATGTGGTTTTGTAATAAGAAAAAGGAGTTTCTATTAATGAGGGAATGTCTAAAATGTTTATTATAGAAAAATTAAGTTTTCATAGTAATCAAACAAAAAATCAATTATTTTGAAATAACTATCACTAATACTATTTCATACTGTTATTAATGTGTTTCTGGTGGAATTTCGATCGATTTCGACTCCTAAGATATTCTGATCCTAATCAAAATTCTACCACGTAAGTTCTTTTTGCTTAGGCTAGCAAATTAATTTTCAATCAAAATGTGTATGAGGATCGAATTTCACCCGATTTCAAAGATACTATTTTTTGTGTTTTGTATTAAGAATACTCGAAGTAAAGAAAGCCGAAAATATATGAAATCGAAAAGCAGTGCTGAAACTTAGATTGCAAAGAAATGTAGACTGCGAAAATCTTAAATTTGCTTTGAGTATAAAAGACAGGGAATCGAAATAGCAACAATGTAAATACCGAGAAATCGAATTTGCAGGAAATGTAAAGGACAGTAAATTAAAGGTGCAATAAATAACTGGGAATCGAAATTGCATTAATGTAAAATGACCAGGGAATTTAAACACAAACTTAACTTGCATTGAATCGAAATGACCAAGAATCGAAAATACAGAAACATAAAATTGTTGAATATAAATTGCATCAAAATAAATTACCAAGGGAAATAAAGAAAGCGATAAAGGTACTCCGTGAGTATGGAAACCCAGATTGCCAGAAGTTTCATGGTGTTCGTCGTTTTTCCGGTAGACTTTTTCACTACTAATCCTGTTCTCTGCCAGTTTCCACCCCCTGTTCCTTCCTCCTTTGCTCTATTTATAGGGCATCATTCAAGCCTTCCAGGAGCAGTTAACAAAACTGCTACCACGTTCTACGTGCATGTTGCAGTTTTATCTTCTACAGTTTCCCACGTTCTCACGATCTTCGACTTCTATTATGGTTTAGAAACTGCTTCCTGTATGTGCGTTTGACTATTCTTCCTTTCACGGTTTGGCCAAAGTCTCGATGTCCACGTAGGTTGGCTTTCTTCACTTTCGATTTTGTGTTTTTGAGAACTCCAACTTGTTTATGATTCTTTTTTAACCTTGACCTCATATAACTCTAATTCCTTAGTTTTTATTCGACAATAGGCATTTGGCTATCATTCACTTGATTCTCGATTGTGCTTCTCGATGTTATGTGCTACGTACTTCTAATTAGACATCAAATGGTTTTTTGTCTATCTTATTAATTTATCAATCAGTCACATATTTTCTCGCTTTTCTTTCCTTCGATTTGGATCGCTTTTTTCGATTTGCCACTAACGTAATGAAATCACTCTTTTAATTGATAAGTAAATTTTCCATGATGGTGAGAAGCACAATTAAGCCGACACGTTCTTAGTGACGACTATGTCATTGTTATAAGTCCAGATAATGCAAAGGTGGTCTCCTTTAAAGCAATTAATGTCCCTGTTCTTTAAAAATAAATGGTTTCGTAAAAGTCCGGTCGAGAATGCAAAAAAAATATTTTTTCCAAAAAAAAGGTTAAAATTTTAACATTTAAAAAAAATCATTTTTAAGATGGGTTAAAATTTAAATATTTTCAGAAAGTAATTTTTAAAATATGTTGGGATTTTAAATTTTGGAAAAATACTTTTCTGGATTTGCCAAAATTTTACTTTTTCAAAAAGAAAACATTTATTCAAAAAAATATTAAAGAAGTATATAATGAAATTACACGGTGTAAATAAGAATTGCCCTAATTTAATTGAGCTTAAACCTACGAGGCCCGTTTTTTAAATTCACTTTAAAAAGTAGCTCAAGAAAATGGGGTCAAGAAATCCTTATGATTACAGGATCAGCCCAATTCAATTGGGTATCAGTTGCAGAATAAACACATGAAAGCTAGAAAAAAAAAAAAACTGATGATGATAAACTAATTCCTTAAAACATTCTCAATTTTTAGACTTTGTTAATATGTTTATACCTTAGAGCTTTATGCTGTTGTTGAATGTCATGTTAAAGTAACAAACACATGAATACTGTCATGTCATGTATAATCCAACAACTCTAATGAGTGCATTTTCTTTCATAGATGCTGCCATTGTCATTATCTGTTGCCACAATTATTAGCCAAGTCATGACAAATGACTACATGTGGAGCTTAGAAGGATTTAAGTGAGGCTACATGGATAAATACCATAATTTCATTCATTATTTACTGATAATTTGTTGCTTTTATCACTTGCCATTTTTCTACCTCAGCTTATACCCTCATATCCTTAATTAAGTTTCAAAGCTAACACAGTCAAGCTTTTAGGAAAAAATTTCAAATGCCAAAAACAATCAAAGGCATTGTTTTTGTTTTTGTATGTTACCAAAGCATGCCTCTCTTTATCTTTTCTCTTATATGGACATTGATTGTTTGTTCCTGCTTTAACAAAGTACTCTTCACCTCTCCCAACTCATAACACGTCTCACGCTTCTCTTTACCCAATTCTAACTTAACTTTTCCTTTTGTTTCTTTGTCTTCTAAAAACAGCACTAAGAAACAAAAAAACAACGGATTTTCCTCTCTGGACACAACAATATTTTCAATAAGTTAGATTGAGACAAAAAAACAAAAATTGATTTCTCATATAACAGAATAGTGGATATAACCAAAATAATACACGTAGAGGAAGGCTCACGTTAACGAAAACTAAAATGCAATTATATTTAAGGAGACTTAAATAGAAAAGCAAAACTTTGATATGAAACAGAATTTTGGAACAAAATGTACGTGGTACGATGAAATTGGTTGAACAATTATTCCGGAATGGTGAGGAGATGAGGCCGCCAGTACTTCCGTTTCAACATGGACCTGCAACGAAAACCGGTCCAAGGCAGGTTGCTTGAACCGGGTTCGTTACTCCAAGAATGAGAAACGGCAACGGAAGCCAACATCGGAGTAGTTTCGTGATCGTGCACGTGCTCCTCTCTTGGCGGTGAGGACACAAAAAGATCCTTCAGTGAGTGTCTCCGCATGGGATTCTTCTCCACCGCCACGTGTTCTTGTCGCCGAGGTGACCGGTTCAGGCTAAGAAGGGTAAGCAGAGATGTTTTGGGCCTGCGGAACTGAACCAACGGGCTCGTTCTCGGGCTTTGGGTTGGGCTTTGCCCCACTCCGCATGGCGTTGTGAACAGCTTGAACTTCTGCAATGCTGCCATCTCCTGAGTTATTTCTCCCCTCTTCCTCACTCTGTTCTCTGCTCTATTAAAAGAGTGTTAAAGTGGGTTTGAATTTGAATATTGATAATTGTGAGGGGACAAAGGTGATTGATTGCTTCTAACAAGCATGGGATCAATTTTGGGAATGGTTTCATCTTTTCTTCCATACACATTCATTACTTTTCTTTAATTCTTCCTTTGATACTTTGGATTAAAGAGTAGTATGACCGATGCCAAGAACTTGGAAAAGGAATCACAAGTAGGACCCAACCATTTTCCCCTGTAGCTTTTCTTTTTTTGCTTTCAATAAAATAAAAAATTGCTATTTATTAGAACAAATGTACTAGCACAACGTCATCCTTGCATTCACGCGTTCCTAGTTAATAGTTAACTTGACTTGACTGGACTGATAAATAACGAATTATGTGACGTAGCTTAACAATTTTTCTTCTCCCTTCCATTTTTTTTTTCTTTTTGGTTCCCTTGCTTCTTCTTTTTTTTTCTTGAGTCTTTGTTCCTTTTGAAATTCTATATCTATCATTGCTGTCACGGATTTAGGAGCATCGACAGGACAAAAAGCTTGTGTAATATATTTTTAATTTTAACCAAAACGTGAAAAACTATTTGACAAAAAGTGGTTAACCATTGATATTGGGCGTGGTAGGTTCACTTTCCTATTTCTCATCCGTCCACATTGTTTGGAACAGAGAATGTACGGTTTGGTGCCGGTGGATTTAAGATAAGAACGGTGAGAAAGCTGAAAATAACTAACTACCTAAATATTTAATTTCAATATTTACATATTTTTCTTTTTCCAACTTGATTTCTTCTCTATTTTCATCCTCTCTTTTTATTTCCTGTATACCAAACATACTCTCATTGAAGGACTTGGACGAAGCTGCTGGCTTTTTATTCATTAAAATTCCAATTTCACTTGAGTCTCGTGAAGCTGCTGGTGGTGGTTGCATTTCTTCGCTGGATGTAGACGAGATAACATCATCACCATCATCTCCTTTCTCTAGATTCTCAGACTCATAATTTCCACTTTGAATTTTCTTGAGGAATTCCAGCACTTGATCCATAGAAGGCCTTAATTCGTTGTCTCCTTGCACACACCGAAAGGCCAACTCTGCCACTGAAGTCACCATCCTGTTGACTACTTGGTCTGACTCAAACCCAAAAGATCTGTCAACAAGCTCACTAAGCTTTCCTCTTTGGATCATTTTCATGCAAAAATTTGCTAAGTTAACTTCATCTCTTTCCCTGGCTCCATCAACTGCTGGCATGGATGATATTAGTTCCATGAGCACAACCCCAAAGCTATACACATCACTCTTTTCAGTGAGCCTATAGCATTGGAAGTATTCAGGATCAAGATACCCCGGAGACCCTTGTGGAGCTGTGGACACGTGACTTGCATCACTGGGGAACAATCTTGAAAGCCCAAAATCTGCTACCTTAACCGAAAAATTAATATCAAGTAGAATGTTATTGGTCTTCACATCACGGTGAATGATGTTAGAAGCATGGAGATAGGCCAATGCAGTAGCAGTGTCTATGGCAATTTGCATTCGAATAGGCCATGTCAGCAAACCAACCCTTGCTAAATCACCGTGGAGATGGCTAGCAACTGTGCCATTTGGAATGTATTCATACACAAGCAGTAGCTCATGGCCGTGACGTGAAGTGCAGCCATAAAGGGACACAAGATTTCTGTGGCGTAAACGAGTAAGGATCTCAATTTCATTCATAAACTGTTCCACTCTCTTGTAATTGTGCTCAAATAGATGCTTGATTGCAACTTCCCTTCCATCTCTCAATGTCCCTGGTGTTAAGAGATAAACGCTTAAGATCAAAAAGTGATTTTATCTGTGTAATGGAAATGAGGTATGTAGTGTATTATATGCTGACCGTAGTAAACAATGCCAAAGCCTCCATCTCCTAGCTGTCTAGTGGGATCAAAATTGTTGGTTGCCTCTTGAAGTTCCTTATAGGAGAAGACGGGTACCCCAAAGAAGATCCTTTCACTCTCCGTGTCAGGATTTGGGAAGGAATCGATAGTGTTACTCGATTGACCATATTGACGTTTGCAGTGGCGTAACACGAGGAACAACCCAAACATGATCAATGGTCCAACACCAATGCCTTCAAAGATTGCGACTTTTAATTAGTTTGACAATTGACATAGATTCAAAGTGAAGTTATTTTTTCAACGTCAACTAATGAATGAACCGACTAGGGGAGGAAAAGAATGCAGATGGTTGACTAATGTCTCTGATTTTAGATAATATTTTAATTTTTATATTAATTACATACAAAAATATGATGGGTATACTAATAATATTTTTAATAAAGAAATGTTTTTAATTCTTTAATTCAAGGTATTAGTTAACTTTTTTTTCCTAAATTAAATAATTTAAAGAAACATACTGACGATGAACTTAATATGCCTTTCTAAAATTTTGCGTGGGAAAGGGAATTTCCCTTTTAGATGTAATGTTAAAATTGTTTCACTATGTTTTTCTCATAATCTTCAAGATTTTCCTTTTAAATAATGTTTTGGTGAGAACCAGAATATAATATTAAAGTTGATGCATAAGCAAAGTATGAAATTGTGAATAATTCTGAATCATTTTATAATATATTTTTATGGCAAGTATTGAATTCATTTTTTTATAAAATTGGTAAGAGGACATGCCACTATATCAGTAGCATAAAACATCTACTCATAATGCATGAGATAAAGTTTCGTTGTTGAGACTCCCACGCTTTCGTTTTCAATGAAATGAAAAACACATGTTTTTGAGAGAAATTAGTTCAAATATATGGCTTATATTTGGAAGCGGGTATGTTAAGATGTGTAAGTTACCTAGGATCAATTCAAGCTTCCGAGTCGAAACTCTACTTTTCCTGCATAATTTAACAGCAGCAGTTGTTCCAATCAGATGAAAAAAAAAAAAAAAGTCAAGTGAGCCTAGTTAAATGTGGATCGCGAGATAATAAAACAAATTTTGACAGTCTAGTAGATTAAATGTAGAAGTAATGAAGCAGGGATTAATTATCTAAATTTTAACCGTTGTGTTAAGGGTGGAAAACATGTTTTTTAGCAGTTCAGAAATAAAAAAAACATGGAGATTGTAAGAAATCTGGTTATATAAATAAATATTCATGCAGAAGTTGTGTTAATACCTCATGGCGCAATATGAATTTCCGCTGCTGTCAGGTCGGCAACTGCCCCCACCTCGATGACACTGTTGACAGGTAATTGAAAACACGAATTGAAAAGTAATTTGAGGAGTTAAGAATCCCAATTGATCTTTGAAGAACTGAGAATTTTGTCTCAGGGGAAGTTGAACCATTGAACAGGAGGGGGTTAAGGAGCGCAGATACCCATCATCATCAGAGGATGAAGGGACAAAGTAAAAATCAGAAGGACATAGCGTATAGTTGATGAAATTATTAGAAACGTTAAGTGTTTGTTGGCGGCTGCAATTGAAGGAGGTTACGTTGTTTTGCAGATAAAAATAACCGAAAGGAGAGGAGGGAGGGAGGGTGATATTATAGCTCAAGGCATTACAAATAGAGTGTTCTAGAAGCTTTCTGAAATTCTCATCGATAATGGAAATATCAGTGAGCCCCGAACGATGAATATTAAGTTTTGTAACTTGAAATTTTTTCCCTCCATTGGTCAACTGGACATACTTGGGTGCCGTTTGGTTGGATTGATTGCAGCCATGAATTGCCAAAACACCACAATTCTGGTGCTCAAAGGTGGTGAAGGGAAAGGAAATTGTCCCCACACTTCCGCAATCAAATGAGTCTGGACAATCAGAGTGGTGCCCGTTTGCATTCCCAGCTGAGAGAAGCAACACAGTTAGAAGAGAAAACAAAACCGGAGACATTTTCATGAGAGATCGAATAGAAGCACCACAACCATGGAATATTGCGTCTCGCTATATGTTCCTCGCTTCTAAACCCTGTATAAAAATCTTTTTAAACCAACTCATACGCTAGTTGACTGCGAAATTACTCCACACATCTTAACACGCCCTCTTCTAAGGTTGTCTTTTTTAACGTTTGTTTGTTGCTTCCAAGCAGTAACATATAACTTGTGTGCTTGTTTGGATGTCCACGCAAATATACCTAAATTAGGTCATATACTAAACAGCTACTGATAATTCAGGTGATTTCATTCTGGCTATTTAATCTTCTTGTTAATTTGTCAGTAGTATAGTTTTCACATCTATTTTTTGCACATTTATTTTTATTAAAAAAAATATGCAAAAGATAGTTCCAAAAATTAATATCATTAATCACGTGATTCAGGGGTTGACTAGGAAGTAGTGTTTAATTCATTCCTTTCTTGGAATTTGACTTTCTAAATATCGCTTTCTGACATTATACACGCAATGGTGCGAATCTCAGAAAATTTAGAACATTGGCTTGACCTGTTGGGCCTATTCTGCTGTGCCAGGGAAAATGAGTGGATAAAAATACTACTACAGCAAAGAAAATATTTTTCTTACTTCATAAAAAGAGAAGCCCGTAACAATATATGTAATTTTTTTTATTTTTATCATAACACATGTTCGTACAAGAGTAAAAAAATATTATTTTATAAAATTATCTTGATTTTAAATATAATATTATTTTATTAATTTAAACTCAAATATTCTTTTAATGTGATCTTATTTTATTAACTTAAATTTAATTTGCTTAAAAATATATAATTTTATAATAAAAATGTTTTAAAATTATATATATTATTAGAAAATAAATACTAATTCAGAAATAACAATTTTAAAATAATTATTAATAAAAAAATCAGTTAAAATTATATGAATAACTTTACAATTAAACAAATAAGTAATTTTAATTTGATTATTTATTATTTTTTTAAATAAATATTTTCTTTTCTTTTTATATATTTTTTTTCAAACAAACAAAAATATTTTTCACTCTATTTTATTTGTCTTTTTTTTTATTTACACTTTTTTTATACTGTAACATCTCACTTTTATTTTTGTAATTAATAATTTTTTATTTTCTTAAAGTCTTAAACGCGTTAAAAATTTATTAATTAGCGTTTGTCAAAGCATTGAAACCATTGGACTGACATAGTCAGAGTTTTCGTCTCCGCCCAACATTTCTGCATGTAACACACTCTTCAAAAATCAACCACAGCAAAGACTAAATTGATTTAGATTCTAATTTCAAATATTATTGAGAAAAAGTTGGTCAAAAGTTAGAAAGTGTGTATTTCAAAATAAAACAAAAGCGTCTAAGATTAATCAAATTTCATTTAAGGACTAAAAACGACTTTTTCAGAAAGATGGATTTATTTCACAAAGATTAGATTTTTTTACAATGGTAGACCGAATTTACTCACATAATTAAATAAGTAAAAGTATTATTTATTATACTACACGGACTTAAAATTGGATTATATAAATAATTTTATTTTTATTTAACTTTTTTCAATTTTAAATAATAATTCAGTTTATAATGTAATAATATTTTTTATTTTTTTGAAGTACCTGTTTATGACAATTTTCATTAAAGGTACTCTAACTATGCTATGAATTCATGTCATCAAGTTTTTAAAAAGCTGCAAAATCAATGAACCTTTACAAAATGAATACGTATCTTGTGTTTCTCATCATCTGTTTTTTTCCTTATTTTTTGACTTTTGTAAATCATGGTTGCATCAAGTTTTTTTTTTTTTGGTCATGGATTTTTATAGTTTACCTACCATACTCCAATAGCTACATATTTGAATCATGAAACTGTTTTTTTTTAATAATATTAATGTGAGAAACATAAAAATTAATGATAAAATATTTATTTTTATTTTAAATAATTATTGAAAAAGAGCTACTACATTTATCATGATTGAAAACTCTTAACACTTCAATAATTAGGCGAACCAGCTTTCTGTTTCCAATCTTTGTCTTCAACTTCTTTTAATTAGTTTCTGTCAACGGTTTTGGTTTTGGTTAAAAATTCTGTCTTTATCTTTATTAGGTTTTGATTTTTTTTTCTTAGACCGTTTTCATTTTATATTATTTTTAAAAACAATTATATTTATTATAAATTAGTTTTAATATTTTTTATATATAATTTATAATTTTTTAATTATTATTATTAATTAAGTATATATTTTATTATTATATCTATATTAATATATATATATATAATATTTAATCATTTTATGAAAATATAAAATACTTATAATAATAATAATATTATATTATATTTAAACATTTAATTATATGTATAAATTAATTATTTTTTATAAAAAAATTAATATTTTAAAATTTAAATTTAAATATAAAACTCAACACTCGTACTACCTACATTCAATCTTCTTGATTTTTCCTCGTGAAATTTAAAACGAGAAGGAGTGGCATTGCAGGTGTAATTGCTTTCCCCTCAACAACCATTGCTTTAATGTAAGAATTTTGATGGAAAAGAAGTGGTTCAGCAAAGAATGTAGTATTTTCTTACTTTATACCAAAACATAAAAAGCTACTTCAGTTTCCCATTGTTCAGTCAAAGACTTATAAAGTTTATAAAGCTGATTATAATGTTCCAATGTCGTAATTAATTGTACTCAAATAGATCTTTGATTGCAACTCCCCTTCAGTGTTCCTGGCTTTTATACACGTTATTAACATTTGTTTTAAGATCAGGGGTAGAAGATAGAAAATATTAACGAAGGTCAACGGCTAAATAATATTTTAAAAAGGGATAAATTTTAGTAGATGCTGTTGTTACAATTGACAGCTTTGAGAAAAAACATATTATATATATAGCTTATATGCCATGTCAGGATACAATTTTAAAAATGTTGTCCTCATTAGAGAGGACTAGTTTATGAAGATATTTTTGTTTTTTTTAACATAAGAAAATATGAAACTGACTCACATCATAAATATATATATATATATATATATATATATATATATATGAATATATGAAAGAATCACTAGTCAACTTCTACATCTTCCAGTTTACATGCAATTAATTTCTTACATTTCAATGCTTCACATTGAACCAAATATTAATCACTTATATTATAATTTTAATAAGAAGAAATTTTATTTTTTTATATTTTAAAAAAAAATTATTTATGAATTTTTATTTCAATAAAATTAATAAAAAAAGTTAAATATAATTTTAATATTTTCTAAATGTAATATTAATATTTTTTATTAAAATCAATAAAATGATTAAACTCTTTTTTTGTTTTTAAAAATTATTTATTAAATTTAAAATAGAAAGATAAAAAAATTATTTTGACCGTGTTTTAATTTTATATATCTAAAATTATAACCAAATCGTATCATAATATATATATATATATATATATATATATAAAATCAATTTTTATATATAAATTTTTTATGCAATAAATAATATTAAATATAAATAAATATAATTTATAATTTATAATTTTTTTAATATTAATATAACTAATTAAATATTATTTTATTCATTTTAAATAAAATTATTTTTTATTTTAATAAATTATATAATATTATAATAATTAAAACATAAAAAATAATATTTTATAAAAAAAATTGAGATATAATCAATTATCATGTTTCGTTATTATTAACTTTTTTTTTCACATGAAAACTTCAACAATAAAATTTGTTTATATATATATATATATATATATATATATAACACAATTTAAAATAAATTACAATTATTTCTTGCAAATATTAACTTAAAAATATAAAATAAGATTTTGAAAAAAAAATCAGAACAAGAAATTTTTTTAACATGAAAACAAAATTCACCCAAGCATGGTGGTTGGTATCATACCATTCATAGATGGTTTCTTTCTATAACGTAATAAATGGATAATTGAAGAATTTAGTTGTAATAAACAATTTTTATTGTATTATTTTGTGTGTGTATATATATAAAACAAGTATTGTACAAGGATTGTTTTTATTATTTTATTTTATCTTAATAAATTATGAATTAATTTTGAATAAATAAACGAATGATATATATTTTTTAAATTATATAAATACTTTTTAGCTAAGAAGAAAAATAATTTGTTAGTTTATTAATCTAATATAAGATTAGATTAAACAATTTTTTTTTTAATATAAATCAAGTTTCACTCTTAGATATTTTTTTTAGTTGGTTCGTACATAAAATTAGACTAAATTAAATCCCCATTTTTACAGGTAACTAAAATTTCATTATCTAATTTTACATAATAGAGTCCAAAGGGGGTGTTTGAGGTTGCTGTTGATGAGTTGGAGATTAAAATTGAATGTTTTGAAACTACCTAAATGATGACGTCATACAATGAGATAAGAAAAAAAACTATAATCTAAGCATAATGTAAAAGTATAAAATAAATTAATGAAAAATTCAAAATCTAATATTTTACTTTTGAGTGTAATAGAATTATGTAAAATACTAAATAGTACTGATGACTAATTTAAATAAAGATGGTGAACTGGATATGAATGTATAAGTATACTCATGGTTTAATAAACCAAAACCGATTTTTTTTTTTTTTAAGAATGGGTGCGGACAATTATTTTTTATTATTATTGTTTTCTCACCATACATATTAATTATTAAATATAATTTAAAAATACATTACAATTACAAAAAATTTAATAGTATTAACTAAGTTTAATAGAAATATTTAACCAATCATAATTAGTTATAGAAGTTTGGTATTTAGTGAGAAAGGAAGTTACAAGCTCTGTGAGTTAGATTTATTGACCACTGACATTAGGACTAGTAGATTGACTGCTCCATTTATCCGTCACAGCCTTTGGCGAAGAAGGTGGCAACTTGATATTCATCAACAATTTCACTTCATCATGATCTGCTGAAGATGGTGATGGTGGCTCTTCATCCTCAAGGTTCACTTCTTCTACATGCCTTGTCTCCTCCTTCCCGCTTTCAATTCTCTTCAGCACCTCCAACACTTCCTCCATGGAGGGTCTCAATTCTTTGTCCCGTTGCAAGCACTGGAAAGCCAATTCTGCTACTGCAGTTATTTGCCTTTTAACATCATCATTTGACTCAAAACCAAGGGAAGGATCCACCAGTTCAGCAATTGCATTTTTATGAATCTTCCTCATGGCTAGATCTGCCAAGTTTATTTCATCCTTATGCCGGTTCAGATCAATTGCTGGCATGGATGATATTAGCTCGATGAGCACAACCCCAAAACTATACACATCACTCTTGTTGGTAAGTTGGTAACATCGGTGATATTCAGGATCAACATAGCCAGGGGTGCCTTGTGGAGCAGTGGAAACATGGGTGACGTCAATTGGGAACAGTCTTGACAATCCAAAATCTGCTACCTTAACACAGAAAGTGCTGTCAAGCAGAAGGTTGCTGGTTTTGACATCACGGTGAATGATGTCACGAGCATGGAGATGGGCCAACGCAGTAGCAGTCTCAATGGCCACTTTCATTCGGGTAGGCCATGTCATAGAGCCATGATTTGTTGATTCATGATGATGGAGGTGACTGGCCACAGTTCCATTTGAAATGTATTCATAAACAAGCAGTAGTTCACGGCTGTCTCGTGAAGTGCAGCCATAGAGAGACACTAAGTTTTTGTGGCGCAAGCGTGTAAGAATCTTGATTTCATTCAAGAACTGTTCTACTCTCCTGTAGTTGTGCTCGTATAGGCGCTTCACAGCGACTTCACGTCCATCCTGGAGTTTTCCTAGTTATTAAAATATAGATGAAAGCAAGAGTTATTTTGAGTACAGAGAAAGTGAAGACCCTTTGAATTATTTTTTTTCCACAGAAAGGTGGAGTTTGTTCGGCACATACCAAAGTAGACAATACCAAAGCCTCCTTCTCCTAGTTCTCTTGAGCGATCGAAACTTTTTGTTGCTATTTCAAGATCCCTATAGGTGAAGACAGGAACCCCAAAGTAGATATTCGCACTTTCTGGGTTTGGATTTGAAAATAAGTCACACACACATCTTGGCTTAAGGTACCATAGAATCAGTATCCCAATTATGACAACGACCGGGAGTCCAATGCCTAGAAACCAACAAAAAGTACAAATCCTATTAATTTAAGATTATCTTGTGTAAGTGCGAAATTTGAAACCGTTTGTCTAGTTGGTATTGTATGACTCTGTCCTCCAGCATTGACATGGAGTGTTAAAATGAGAAATGCATAGGAAATCATCATAAGTTGCAATGAAGTTTGGGGAAAAAAGTACAAGAGACATCGGATATGGAATATATGGTTCTAAGTTTGACAAATAAGAAAAGAAGGAACATTACCTAGTCCTAACTTCCATGCCAAATGCTCTGCATTGAAAATCAGAGGAACCAATTAGTTTAGAACAAAAAGATAAAGTTAAAATAAAGTTGATCACCCATCCCATTTGTTTACTATATTACCCTGATTTTGTTTTAGAATTGTACATAATATTCCTAAATTTTTATGATTACAGAGCAACTAATCTTACATGAACACCATGTTATAATATTTTAACGAAAATTTAAGAAAATTAGTGTAATATATTAAGGGTGTCAATGTTGATATAAACAATTAAGAGATTTTTTTATAGGCCATTAGAAAAAAAGCATTGCTCTAAATCCCACACAAAAAAAAAAGAGAAAAATGCAATTTTTTTTATCAATGGTTATCTTAAAAATAACGATTAATTATACTAATATTAATTTTATTTTATAAGTGATTAAATATAAATAATCATATTTAATTTATTAATATATGATTAATACTTTTACGATATATATATATATATATACTATATAAAATAAAAATAATAACAAATTATTAAAAAAACGTAATATTATAAATTAAATATATAGAAGTTATATCCTACTTAATATATATATATATATATATATATATATATATATATAAACTAACCACTTTTTTATTTTGAATTCGATAATAAGACTTATTTAGTTTTATAATTTTTTAAAATTTATCTATTTTAATAATTAAAAAAAAAAGTTACATTAGTTTCGTAAAAAACATGTGTTTACTAAAGTCATACGTGATAATATATATTGAAGTAGATGTTTTCTGGAAACAAAATGTTTGATTAAGAAGTTGCATAACGATTAGTCCAATTGTGAGTTATCAATCAATCATTACCTTCAAAAAAATCCTTAAAATTCATTTGTTTTAACCTTAGTTGTGGCTTATATGGCAATCACAGAACTTGAGACATCCTCTCCTCCCCTGAACATTTGGTTGACCAAAAATATGAGAATAAAATTTGCCTAATACCTGTGGGGCAAGAGAAATTTCCTTTACCGTCAGGTAAACACTGGCCCTTTCCATCTCCAGGACACCTTTCACATTCATCTGATAACTCTACTTCAATAGCGATACTACTAGTTAGAAATTGAAACGGGTCGTCACCAGAGACTCCTTCTACTGCAAGCTGAATGGTTGAACATGGTGCTAAAGATTTCTCCACCTTTAAATCCAGAGGAGTTTCTGCATCTGGGCGGCCATAGTAGATATCGTACTCAGAAGAACAGTTTGAATATTTATGAAAATATTTGGGAAGGGTGGGTTTGAGGGAGTGAGGGCATCTGAAGATAGTGATACTATATTTGAGCAGGAAAGAAGCTGAAGGAGAGGGGTGAGGAAGACTAAAATTCTTGCCGAATGCTTTGCAACTTCTATTTAGTAAATGTTTTTCATGTTCAACATCCGTGATAAATATGGTATGAGGTACTTCTACCTTCAGAACAGGGTACGATGTTGATGTTGTTGTTGAGGTGTTTAGTTGGAGGGTTTTGGGAGCCATTGGGTCATGATTTTCGCAGCCATGTATAGGCAATAAGCCGCAGTGTTGTTGCTGAGTGGTTGTGAAAGGAAACCGAATCTGGCCAAGAAATCCACATTGGAAAGATCGCGGACACTCTCCATTCTCAGCTGAAACAAGAAGCAGAAGCTGTGAGAAATATATTATTAGTGATTTGAAAACAAGAAGGGAGACCATTAGGAAATGTGAAGAATTGTGAAGCAAATATGAAATATGGGAAGGGAATGGTTTTGGAAAACGAATGAATTCTTTATGAAGAGAGGTGACGAACACTTGAACAAATTACATTAACAATGCTAATAATATAAACCCCACAGTCAAAGTGTGCTGCAACTTGTTTTTCAGACTGAACACAAAAAAACATATTGTCGTTTTGAAGGGCTTCATACGTCACTTGACTTCGAAAATGACTGTATATTTTCATTTTCATACAGTAAGATTTTAATTTGGAGGGACGATTAATTGAGATCCCCTCTATCCAATAAACAACCAATTCTATTAATACAATAATAATATTATTATTTAATAAATATAATTAGTTGAAGGAGAGAAGTTTAGTTGTCAAAAGAAAATTCTCCTTTATTCTTTACAAATATAGCTTTGTTTGATAGTCAACAATTAAGACGTTGTTTTTTATTTTTTGTACGATGACCATAACTATGCTTTGTTTCTTTTGGTGTCTTTACGATAATGGTGTTTGAATATATGAACTCATATGTTAAGAATATTATTAGACTGGTTTTTAAATAGAATTAATTTTTATGTGATTGATAAATAATTCATTTATATGTGAATATGTTGTTTTAAAAATAAATATAAAAAATATTGATTTTGTTTGAATTTTGAATAACTAGTCAAATCAATTAAGCATATAATACTCTAAGTTTCGTGCTTAAAATTAACTCTAAAATTTAAAATAAAAATACTCTTTTAGAAAGATCTAATTTATTCACCAAAACATAATTGTAAAAATTCAAAGTGAACCTGGAGTTTTTTATGCATTCAAATTTTCTTAGAATGTTGATATTTAGTTAATGAAATATTCTTTAGAGCATTTCCATCACCAAATAAAAATATCCCATCAATATATATTTGTATGAATGATGTTTTTCTTGTGTTTGGTTACAGCGGAAACTTCTGGTATTGATTTATAATGATGTTTTATACGTTTTGGTTGGTTTAACAGTTAAAATAAATTTAATTTTAACTAAAATATTTTTTATTTACAGGAGATAATGGGTATAATTATTACAAATGATAAAAAAAATTCGTTTAAATATTACACACACGTACACGCGCGCATATATATATATATATTTGACACGTTATATTTACTAGTTATTGAACTAGGTAGGATTTTACATTCCAATAATTAACTGTGTTTGTTTGATATAAACTTTGGTTCAAATTATTTGGAAGATACATAAGCTATGTTTAAAAATGATAGTTACAAAGTACATTAAGAATAATATTGTTTTGGTGGAATTATAAGCAAATAGTATGGTGGCTTATGAAATGTAATTGTAAACTACGTTCAAAAGCTGTACCCAAAATAAATAAATAAATGTTTAAAAAGTTATAAGTTTTAAAATTAATTTTAATCAGTACAAAAGTAATTCTGTTAAAGCTAAATATTAATGAAAACAGAGTGTGCAAATTAATATTAATGTGTAACTTATTTTAGGAGCTGCTTGTTTGATACAGGAAACAAAAAGACACTAACAGAAGACTCGATTATTGACGTTTTCAAAGTCACGCATATTTTTTCTCTACGTTAGACAAGACAAGTTGTGCTAAGAGAAATAATGGAACCATGATTTTGATGTAAATTTCGTAGCTGAAAAAGTCCACACTCCATCTCGTTCATTTCGAAGTTAATTAAGGGGTTCCACATGACTTAGGAAATAAAATACAATATAATTAAAGAAAATATTACTCCCTAAAACTCAAATTATGTACATAAAAAAATTAGTATTTTAATTTAATTAACTTAATTTAATTTTCATAAAAAAAAACATATTTCATATCTCTCAATCATCTCAAATTTAAATTTTAAGCAAATAAAATATTAATATGTAAAATAATAAATAATGTCAATCCAACGACTTCAAATTTCAGAACATTACAGACGCAAAGTAACTTCAAATATATTTTTTAATGATAATATAAAATCATAAGATAAAAGAAATGAACAATATAATTGTATAAACAAAATATTTAGGATCTAATATGTCTTGTCTAATCATCAACCTAGTTTAATTTATTCGACTGATTTCGATCAAACCAGTTGAGTTTTACAACTTTATTAAAAACAATAATAAATATATTTTAAAAAAATAATTTATCCTTACAATAAATATATCACTTTTATTGAGACAATACAAATAATTACCATGTAAAAATGAAATATTTTTAAAATAAAAATATTAATTAATTTAAATTAAAAAAATAAGTTACAATAATTTTAAGACGAAGGAAGTGGGAATGTAGAATTGATATAATTGAAGGTGCCGACCACAAGAGTTCACCCTTCAACGTGACCTAGTCAAAACGGATTGGTATATCTCACTTTCAATCAATTAAGAGCATTTGCAAAAAATCATTAATAATAGTTATTTAAAAATAAAAATAATATTTTATTACGAAAATCACACATAATTTATTTTAAAATTAGTTAAAATTATTTATTTATATAATTTTTTTAATTTAAAATAATTTTCTTCAATTTTAAATAATTATGATTTATAATAAAATATTTATTTTTATTTCTAAAATTTTACTCATGGTGTTTAAAGCTTTTTTTATATACAGAGAATTGAAACTGAAATAAAAATTGTGTTAATGTTGAAACAGTATAAAAGTTTATTGGAATAAACAATTACATGTAATAATTTCATAAGTCCAACCCCACTAAGAAATTTTGCATATTTAAATTTTTCTAATTTTATTTATGATAAATTAGAACTGAACTGAAAATATTTCCTACAATTGTCAGTATTAACTAAGTAAACGTGTACACTGATTAAACAAACACAAATTCCTGAAAAACAATACTTAGATTTTATAATTTACTCGAAACATGATTCGGTACACTTATCAAATAATTAATGGGTATAAAAATAAAAAATAAAAAAGATTCTCTTGTAAAGAAGTAGTTATTGAATGGATATTTATTTTAAAAGGATTGTTAAACTATCATTTCTCTTGTAAAACAACACAAAAATAAACTCATTTACAATCACTAGTGCCTCAAACTCAAGCGCTGGCATTAGAAGCAGTATATTCACTGTGCCATTTATCAGTGACGGCTTTAGGTGAAGGTTGCACCATCATTTTTTTCCACAATCCATTCTCATCCCAATCTAGTGGTGGTGGTGAAGGTAGAGAGGGTAGAGATAAATCTTCTTCATCCAGATGCTCAGGCGTATCCTTCCCACTTTCAATTCTCGTAAGCATCTTCAAAACCTCATCCATAGAGGGTCTCAAATCTTTATCCCGTTGCAAACACTGAAAGGCCAATTCTGCCACTGAAACCATCATCCTCTTTACCTCACTGTCTGAATCAAAACCAAGAGAAGAATCAACCAGCTCACTAAATGCACTCTGCTGAATCTTCTTTATTGCTAAGTTAGACAAGTTTATCTCATCCCTATTCCTGCTCATATCAACAGCTGGCTTAGAAGATATCAGCTCAATTAGCACAACCCCGAAACTATACACATCACTCTTGTTTGTAAGCTGGTAGCACTGCTGATATTCCGGGTCAACGTAACCTGGAGTCCCCAGAGGGGCAGTGGAGACATGCGTGACATCGTTTGGGAACAGCCTTGAAAGACCAAAGTCACCAACCTTAACACTAAAACTTTGAGTAAGGAGAATGTTTTTGGTTTTAACATCACGGTGGATGATGGCAGAAGCATGGAGATAAGACAATGCACTCGCGGTCTCTATGGCAATTTTCATTCTTATTTGCCATGGAAGAGTGCGTGGCCTTGCAAAAGCACCGTGGAGGTGGCATGCAACAGTGCCATTTGGAACGTGTTCGTACACAAGCAGTAGTTCACGACTGCGACCTGAAGTGCAACCGTAGAGGGACACAAGATTTATGTGGCGCAAGCCAGTGAGGATGTGAACTTCGTTCATGAACTGTTCTACTCGCCTGTAGTTGTGCTCATAGAGACGCTTGATAGCAACTTCTCGTCCATCTCTCAGTTTTCCTGGTTGTTAAACATCATATCAATCACTATTTACCATTAATTTAAATAAAATAAATATTATATAACATCAAGATGAGGGAATGGTTTACCGTAATAAACGGTTCCAAAGCCTCCACTTCCAAGTTGTCTGGCGTGGTGGAAATTGTATGTAGCTTCTTTAAGCTCCTTGTAAGAGAAGAGAGGGACTTCATAGTAGAACCTGCCATTTTCGGGCTCTGGATTTGAGATGGGACCAATTTCACCTCTCTGTGTGTTTCTTGATTGGTATTGGGGGTCTGAAGGAGTGTGTTTTCGTCTAAATATAATGCATGCAATTAACACAATTGCTAACAATATCACACATAAGCCTGCAATAAGGGGATACCAAAATTTAATCTGACAAAACTTTTTAGATATAATACTTTGATCATATATGCGAATTCGCACTCCCAGGACATCGATTAAATAAAAAATAATTATTACTAACTTACCTGCTACAAGTCCAAGTATCAGCTTCAAAATTTTACTCCTGTTCCTTGGCCCTGTAAATGAAGTTATATTGAAGAAATTTTTGAGTAAAAAATGAAGCGATGAAGTATTAGGCTCACATTAGCATATAAAATTATGACACTCAAACTAACTCTATTTGCCAATTTGCCATGATGCCAGTAACGTAAAGCATGTAGTCAGGTATTTGGAAATTTGTCGGAGGAGATTAGTATAGTTTAAATGGATTTAGCTTGAGGAATTAGTTATTGATTATGGTACCAAGATACTAATGAGAAAAACAGAAAAAAGTTAGCATTCAGTGATCAACTTGATCCATGCCACTGAAGTGCTAACAGTAACAAAAACAGGCGCAGCCACGTCTAAGACGATACTTTATCTGACAATCTCGCTGGTCGATTTAGAAAACTCGCTGTACCGAAATGAAAGATTCAATGGATTAAGGAATATATATAAGAAATTTAAGCGAACCGTACCTTGCTGACAGTAGAACTTTTGATCGTTGTCAAGGCGACATTGGCCTCCTCTGCGATTGTAGCACTCATAACAATCATTAGATAATACTACTTCAATAACCATCGCAGCTGATACAAACGATAGAATGTCTTTGGTATCAGTCTTGTCTTTTTTTGCTAACTGAAGAACTGAGCAGGAGGAGAAAAGGGTACGAGTCTCCTCATAGTTAGGAAGGGGAAGGCTGTCATAATAGATATCATAATGATACTGAGGGCAGGGGTAACTAAAATAATGTGGTGGAGGTTTCTTATTGAAGCCGTGTTTGCATCGGAACAGTGTTACATTATATTTTATATTAATAGAATATAACTGAGAATGGGATGGAAGACTGTAGTTATTGGTCAAAGTGTCACAACTGTTGTTCTGGAAACGCTTGTGAAAATCTTCATCCGAAATTGAAATCGCATCCTGCTGAGTGATGCCTGTAAGCACAAATTTTTTTCCATTTTTTTCCAGCTGGATCGTTTTTGAGGGTGAATGAAGATTATCACAATCATGTATAGGGAGCAAGCCACAGTCTAGTTGTTCTGCCTTGGTAAAAGGGTAATGGAAAGTCCCAAGATGGCCACAAGTAAAGGTGTGTGGACAACCTTGGTGCCCATTTCCATAACCAGCACAGAGAATGAGTACAAGGTGATAAAACAAGAGGAAGCAGAACAAATCTACTGGAGCCATACCAATTTCCCACTTGTGACAAGGTGATAAAACAATATTTTGAGGAACAGGTGATGAACTCTCTTAACAAATAACCAGATTCTCTATTGATGATATTATGCTTAGTATTCTTAGTCTCACACAGTTACACCGCATTCACAATTTATACATGTCAAGAATCAATTAATCTACGCGTCTCTGATTCGCAAGTTGACTTGGAAAATGAGCATGGAAGTCTGGAGAAAAATAAATGTGGATACAACAAACGTTCTATTGTCTTCATCATTACAACAATGAAGCCTGACCCACAAGGTTTCCCTTCAATTTCTTTTATTGACTATATACAGTTTATTGGCAATAAGACAGGACTGGAATTGACTCTTCCAAAGTCCACACATTTTCCAGTTTGAAGTTCAAAGGTGAAACTTTGAACGTCAGTATTTGCTAATGGCCACAGACAGATTGGAACTTTTAAGACAACTTGAGTAGTGAAGATCACAACAGAGTGGCAATTAGAAGTACAAGCAAAGGGGACTTTGGAAAAAAACAGTTGAAAGAAGGTGACGAAATCAAGAGTTTGATTTTCTTTTTTATGTATGTATTTTATTATTGATTTTGGTAAATAATTAGAAAATGAGATTAAGTTTAGCACATGTGGTAATGAAATAGGAGGAGATAGTGGGAAATGGTTGAGGTCAAAGTGAGGGCGGGTAAAGTAGGAGTATACATGTTATGGAAAACGCGTCTTGACAAAGTCTCAAGTGCAATTTTCATGGTTTCGCATTTCCTGGCACAGGATTTCCCAGGAAGGAAATGAGAAGATAATTGCAGAGCACTGCTTCAAAGATTTTTCGCTACACTCATTTCAATTTAACTCTGAGGCTACAATACGAGGGACGGTTGATACGATGGACATGTCAACCTAAACCAGATCATTTCTCCGAAAATGGAATATATATATATGGGTTTATAGTTATATTTTATTTTTTAATCTTGAGATCAATATTTTTTAATATTTTAAATTAAAAAGTATTTAAGTCATTCAGAATTAGTAAAATATGGTTTTAATTCTCTAAACATCAAATTTAACTATTAGAATAGTTGGATTTAATCTCTTAAATTAACTGGTTCCAGATTATAATTCAATTCAAAAATAGACTAAGATTTTTTTTTTCATTTGAAAACTCAAATTAAAGTTACACCATTAAAAACACAATTGGACCTTAAATTGGAGTAAAATAATTACCATGTGTTCTAATATGTTTTTCTTTTAAATAAAAAATAAAATTAAATTATTTTTATTGTATTTTTAATAAAAATATTACTTTACTATCTTTATTTAAATTAAATATTAAGAAATTTTTATATTATTTAAAAAAATATATTACAGTATTTAATCTTTTATTATATTTTTACTATATTATATACATAATATAATATAATATATAATATATGAGTGATTGAATAAAATATAAGGATAATAAACCCCACCTAATATATAAAATATACATATATATAAAATTAAAAAAAAACATTTTAAATTCTTAGAAAAAAAAGAAAAAAAAGAAGTTTTTTTACGAATCATTATTACAATTTTTTTATAACGCTTTGATATGTAGTTTTAAAAAATTAATATATTAAAATTTTATGTTTAAGTAATTTTTATTTTTTAATTATTTTAAAATTTTCACGATTTTACAAATTTCTCCACGGTATTAATTATCACAGTTTTAGTTGAAACTGTTAAAAAAAAAAAAAGAGAAAATGAATGATTATTAATAACACAAAATAGCTATTAGAACACTTGGATAATGACAACTTAATTGGTCTATATATCTTTTAAAAGAAATAAAAAAATATATGCTTTTTGTCAAAATTATGTCTAGAATAATTACAATATTTTCGTTCAAATTATTTTTTATTTATTTAATATTAAAGTTATTTGAATTTTTTAATCGGATAATCTACCAATAGGTTAATTTTAACAAATTAATAAAACATATTTTGTTCTCCGATTATATTTTACGTCTTTCTTTTTTATTTTATTTCAACAACAAATTTCTTTTACAGTAAAAACTATAAATTATATTTTTTAACATATAAAACAACTTATGTGAATTATTTTCATTCAAGATCTCCTAAGTATTAACAATTTTACAATATCTAGTTGGAGTTGAATTTGTGTCCTCCTATTAAGGCTTATTGTTTGTTGAATTTTACAAAAATGGTGATTCTTAATATTTTTCATATTTTTAATTATATATAATTTTGGTTGAAAATATCTTTATATATATATATATATATATATATATATATATATATATATATATATATATATATATATATATATACCCTAATCTAATTAAATAGTTTGGCTTGACTTGGATTAGAATGCGTGTGTATCATTTTATTAAAGAAAATCCAGTATTGTTTGTGCAGATTTTTGTAATATTTATATGTACTGATGTATCCTCACCTTAACTCCATACAATGTGCCAAGCATACTGTGACTCAACTAATAATGAGTATGTTAAAATGGGATCATAAAGAAATAATGATAGAGGAAGTGATTAGGTACTTATATTAGGTGTTGTACATTTACTTTCCCATTTATCAGTCACACTGTTTGGTGAAGCAGGCTTTGTATTCTTCAACAATCCAACTTCATCCCACTCTGGTGAGGCTGGTGGTGGTGAATGTGCACAACTATCTGAAACTCTAACATTATCAACATCTACCTCATCCTTCCCACTCTTAATCCTCTGCAGTTCATGCAACACCTCATCCATAGAAGGTCTCAAGTCCTTTTCCCTCTGCAAACACTGTAAAGCCAACCCTGCCACTGAGACTATCATCCCCTTAACCCCACTGTCCGAATCAAAACCAAGACAAGGATCAACAAGATCACCAATTGCACTTTCTTGAATCTTCCTCACTGCTAGATTTGACAAGTTAATCTCATCCCTGCTTCTGTTCATATCAACTGCAGGCTTGGATGATATCAGCTCAATAAGCACAACCCCAAAACTATACACATCACTCTTACTAGTAAGCTGGTAGCAGCTGTAATATTCAGGGTCAAGGTAGCCCGGGGACCCTTGTGGAGCTGTGGAGACATGTGTGACATCGTTCCGGAAGTCTCTTGAAAGCCCAAAATCTGCTACCTTAACAGAAAAGTTGCTGTCCAGGAGAATGTTGTTTGTTTTCACGTCCCGGTGGATGATGCGTGAGGCATGAAGATAAGCCAATGCACTAGCAGTTTCTATGGCAATTTTGATACGTGTAGGCCATGGTAACAAGCCAGGCTTGGCTAAATCACCGTGGAGATGACATGCTACAGTCCCGTTTGAAATGTATTCGTACACAAGTAGGAGTTCACGGCTGTGACGTGAAGTGCAGCCATAGAGTGACACTAGATTTTTGTGACGCAAACGTGTGAGGATTTTAACTTCGTTCTTGAACTGTTCTACTCGCCTCCAGTTGTGCTCGTATAAGCGCTTCACCGCAACTTCCCTTCCATCTGGGAGTTTCCCTGCATTTTGATTTCAAGGTCTAAGTGTTACAGTAAGAATTACATTTTCACTTCTAGGTCTAAGTGTTACAGTAAGAATTACACGAGAAATATTATATAGTTCAACTAATTTTAGCTTGAAAAAGTTCGTTCATTTTTTTTTTTCTTCTAATAAAAATGTTTATGGAAAAGTTTGTAGAAAACATAGTATGTATTCATTGTTATATTCATCTGAACACATTCAAAGTTCTATCCAATTTCCACTTGATATGTGATCATTTCTTTAGAGATTGATCAGGACTATAGTACATACGCCTAGTTCTGGATGATGGACATGAGGAAATTGACTAAGACCAATGAACATGTAGTAGTAGTTCTAAACTACACAATAACATGTTGTGTGTCAAACTGTCAATTAATTGTGCAGTGTTTGATGAAGTTGCTTACCATAGTAGACAGTACCGAAGCCTCCATCTCCAAGTTCCTGAGTATGGTCGAAATTGTTCGTGACTTCTTTAAGCTGCGCGTAGGAGAAGAGTGGAACTTCAAAGTATTCGCCACTACTTGTTCTATGAGGATTCGAGGAGGAATCAGAATAAGAATCTCTTGACTCCAATTGTCCACCTGAGGTAGCATGTTTTCGTTTGTTGCGTATAAAGAAAAACAAAAACCCAAGTAGCATCATGCATGGGATTCCAATACCTATACCTAAACCTGTGAAAACCCGCCAAAAAAAAATATCAATTAAAACACTACGAGACACAACAAAGTGTGTGACAGCTGCTACTTTCCTACTAGAATGAAATTAGCATTGATAGAGCTATACAAAAATTTTCAAGTTTTTAGCATTTTAGGTAAAAATAAGGAATCGGAAGATCCTCTTCATTCAACAAACTGATGGACCTTGACACTCAGAATCAATAATTTTGAAAATCATATGCTGAAAAATAATATCAAGTTATGTAAACAGTTCATTACCTAAAGCCAGTTTGTCCTTAGGACTCAACCCTTTTTTCGTATCTGCAGTTATTACAAGAAACATTTTAGCGAACAACACAGATTAGAAGTGTGGAGATAAAGCTATGCAGAGAAAAATATAGCATGTTAATTGTGAGTGTGGCACCAAAATATATCAGACATTAGACAATCAACCAAAGCAACTTAGCTCTTTCCATCCAAGTGTACTAAATTCTAGATTTGAAATTTTAAGACAAGGAGAGAACTTGGACTAAGCCCAACAATGTCACTTCCCCTGAGCTGTTGTGATATAGGAGAGTGAACTGAGCTTGGACCATCCTACAGAAAAATAGACTTATGTTCCACAAATTGTGAAGAAAACATTTAAGAACCTATAATATGAAAAGCAGATAAAAACAACAAGTATTAATGCATTGCATTCATGGGTGCTTGTGTTTCCAGGAATTCTGTCGTACCCATACCCTTGTTGGCACAACAAAATTTCTCTGTGCTGTCAAGTTGACAGAGCCCTCGTTGGCGATTGATGCAATCTAAACATTCATGAGTTAATTCTACTTTAATCAGTACATCGGCAGTGAGGAATGCAAATGGGTTGATACCGTCAGGCACGTCCTTATTTGGAAGCTTGACCTCTGTGCATGCTGTCAAAGAACTCGAGTGATTGTAGCCGAAGTAGAGGTTGTAGTCATGGCACTTTGTATAGTTACACATGTTGGTGGGAGGGTTGAATGGGAGGCTGCGGTTGCACCTGAACAGAGTTGTGGTGAATGCGAAACTAAAAGAAGCAAAGGGAGAGGTATGAGGAAGAGTATAATTGCTTCTGAAAGCTTCACAACTTTGGTTCTGCAGAAGGGCATAGAGATCTTCGTCTCTAAATTGAAAAGTTGTGAAAGGAGTAGTAGGATTACTCAGAAGCTGAGTTACACGTATAACCTGAAACCATGTACCATTTTTCTGTGGTTGGATCATTTTGTGGTTAAGTGGATCATCACAATTTCGTATGGGCAAGAAGCCACAGTCCTGGCGTTCTGCTTTAGTAAAAGGGAAACTGACGTCGCCAAGATATCCGCAAGGAAATGATGGGGGACACTTTCGTGGGAACCCAGCAGCCAAGAGAAGTGGCATAAGGTTAGAAAACAAAAGCAGTAACACAAATTCGTAAACTGGACTCATCCTTCATCAACCACCCACTACCTTTATGAGCAAAACAGCATAGAATTCAACTAGGATGTGATTCAGCAAACTAGGCTGAAGTGATCTTACTTTCTTTTAAACTCTTTCCAATATAGCACCAACATGAAGCACTTGGATACGTCAGTTGAATTAGAAAATGACTACCGATTCACGGAATATTCCTTCAAAAAGTTTCCATGGAAGACGGAGTGTGAAACCAAGACATTCCTACATACACACATATCTAGTCATTAGGGGAGTGAGACCAATTCTTACGCCTTTTGACACAAACACAAAGACTTTATAATCTCTTAGCTGACTCTGCTTCAAAACTGAAACTTCTCTTGGTCCAGGACGCTCTGAACCGTGTATGAGACGCAAAGCAGAATGAAAAACAATAGGGTGGATGGTAATGAAGATTAAAAAAAATATCAAGAGGAGGTCCAGAGTCCAGAAGAGTTTGGAAATGCAGTGGGCCAATTTGGTTGAAATACATATGAAGAAGTAGAAAAAAAGAGCACTAAATGACGTTGAAGGAGTGCGAGAAATAATAATAAGACAAGGTTAAGGAATGGTTAGGTGCTTTTAAACGGTAAGGTTCACACTTCACAGTCAACTAGGCCAGAGAGAAAACGCGTTCACTGTCATAATCAATGGCTTCAAATTTCTGGGCACCCACCCTCATTTCTCTTGTCTCAAGTTTCAATCATTTTTCTAGTACTGTGTGTGAACTTATGAAACAAAGGTTTCAAGGACCTGTCGAGTTTTTTTGTCCCAATTTTCGACAAATTCTAGTACACCGTAGAAATTAAACATTTATTTCTTTTTCTTTTTCTTTTTTGCATGGATCAACGTATGAGCGCAGAGGGTGGACATCAATAATTAATCAGTGATCACTATACCAATTATTAATTACATGTTTAGTTTTAGCCCAGCAATTTTGGTCCTTTGACAACTTTACTATAAAATTTAGTATCTTCTGCAGCCAATTATTCTGATTGTATTTCAGGCTCTTTCGTGAATTAAGAAGTAAATTTTATGCAAAATAATTCTTTGAGAGGAAAATTCACGAGATTGTGTAAATTGAAATGTAAGAATGAGACAACTTTGGAGAATTTATTTAAACAAAACCTATTGCATCCTACGCTAAACACCACAATGGAAACAGTATTATAATGAAAAAGATGAAGTTGATTGAAATGTTATCTATTTTCTTAAAAACATAGTTTTGACTTGTTTGGTTAAAAAATTGTCGTGATGTCTCTAATCTAGTTGGCAACGCTTATCCTTTCTCTTACAGGTTGATATAGGACTAGAATCAAGAGGAAGACTTGACCAAATGAGAATCGGTATAAGAAAGTAAAATGAAAAGACACTGAAAATTCCAGAGTTAAGGATGATGGAAAGGGGGAAAAGTATAAGTAAAGGGTAGGAGGTGTGAAAAAAAAATCAAATATTTAAATTTCATTTATAATTATACTTATTTAAATCACTTTAATTTGATTTTAATGAATTCATTTCAAATTTAAATATATATTTTTACTCTAAATTCAAACCAATTAATTGGATTTTGATTAAATATTTTTTTTAAATCTAAAAACAATATTTATCTTAAAAATAGTTTAATCCAGACAAATTTTTATCAATATTATTTATTTAATATGATATTTTTAAATAAAATAAGGGATATAAGTGTGCTTATAAAAAAAACGAGATCAATAGCATTTATTAAAAATATGATGAAAGTGAATGTCTATTTAAAAATCATAAGATATATATGTGTAATTTTGTTAAAATTATATAAATGTTTAACAAAGTATCCCAGCAATGATTAAAATTACAAAATATTGAATAAAAAACAAAATTTGTCATGTGAAAGAGTGAAGATATTAAATGCTCATTAATAAATATTTTATCATAATTCTAAACAACAACAACAAAAAAGTTAATAGTAACATTCAATTAAGAATTAAAGCCTTTGAATTTTAATTAAATAAAAGCACTAAAGGATAATAAACAATCTAAAATCTTTTAAGTGGGGAAAAGGGAGAGGTTAGATATTTTAAACATACTCATGGTTAGATTGTCTTAAAATAAAATTAAATAAGAAACTCTGACCTAGAAAGAGAAAACTCTTATTGTGTAATTCAATAAGTAAACATCAATCAAAGACTATTGATTTAGATTGGAAGAATTTGTGGAAATTTCCTTTTTTCCAATATATTATATTTTTTATTATGAAATATCATTGGGCTAATATTAATATCCAGGTCAAGATGGCCGAGTTGGTCTAAGGCGCCAGTTTCAGGTACTGGTCCGAAAGGGCATGGGTTCGAATCCCATTCTTGACATTTCAAATTTTTTTATTTTTTATTTATATTAAAAACTAATATAAACAATTGCTTTATCACCCATACTTATTTCCTTCATCTATCCATTACAACTAAATATATATTTTAAAATGCTTCCCCAACGTATAATCGGAATTTTTTATAATATATTTTGGAGAACTTTTTCAGAAAGTGTAATAAAATTATATTTATCATTTCATTGTAATGGAAGTTGTAGGAAATAGGTGCAAAAGGCAATTATCATGCCATAAGGCAAAAACAAAACATAGCCTAATAATGGCCCAACTTAGTAACTTCGGCCCAATAGTAAAAAATAACGGTTCAACATTTGATAATTAGTTTTTATGCAGAAAAAAAAAAAACACAGTTTGAAAATTATATTAAAAATCTAGTTCTAACTGTTATTAAAAATTAGTACAGGTAACGACAACATCGAACAAAGTTCTATTTCAAAAACATTGAAGGTAAAACATAATATTGAAAAATACGAAAAGTAATAACATAACAATATATTTTTTATTAAAATATTGTTAAAGAATAAATAAAGTGCGAGCATTAAAATGTATTTTGCAAGACTAGTTTGATCTAGAAAGAAATTTTGTTTAATATTTTGAAATGTTTACTTCAATTATTTTGAATCACGTAATTATATCATACAAGTATTTAAGTTTCCAGTTAAAATGCAAATAAGAGTATAATAGAATTGTGTTGATCTGACTTAGAAAAAAAATATTGCTTATTATTACCAGCATTCCCCAATAATAAAAAATATATGTTAAGAATAATTGTTTAAGGGAATATAGTTTAAGAATTCCATCACAGAATATTATATAAAAAAGATTAGAAAAATCATTTAATAAGTTTCAAAAATAATTAAATGTTTAACGAAGTATATAACCCTTAACATATTTTAGTTAATATATTCAGATTTCTCAATAATAGAACTAATAATTAAATTTATGCACCGAAAAATGTAGCCAATAAGAACACCGTCCTAGATTATTGATAATGCATCAATCATGGAATTGAATAAAAAAAAAAAAAGCACAAGAAGTTGATTGGAATATTCAAGTTCTGTTCTAAGTCAACTATTTTAAAGATACAGAATCGACTTTTCTATTTCAAAACTGTACTGACATTAATTATAACTTTTGGTACATGTACTTATATTAATTAGTTTTAGGGACTAGGAGTAGTATTTTTCATTAACAATATAATTGTACTTATTAATACAACTATGACTTGACTAATTACGTTGGGTAGTTATTTTCAAAGCCAGGTCTTTTTTTCACTAACATAAACCATCACTGGAGATTTATTAAGATTCTTTCTTTTCCCAACCAAACTCAACTAGTATTTTAAACTTAAGGGAGTTGTCACAGCTCTTTTACAAACCAATCATGCTGATTGTGTCAGTGTCCCTTGTATAGTCTCAATTCTTCGTTTTTTATTTTTTTATTTTTTGCCACAAACAACACACTAGAGAAACCAAGAAAACACACCAAATGCAAACATATATCATCTATTATGTTTGCATCTTCTTTCGGAGTGTTCAAGTCTCATCTGTGAGAGGAAACTCACTTTTGTACGGTGTTTAATTATCCTTAAAAGTATGTTTGAATATTCAATCTTGCCTAAAAACTCAGTTTTGTAAAAGCAGTATTTGCAAACTTAAAAAATCTGTAAATTTTAATCCAAATTTGATTATTCTGGTAGTCTCTGTATAGGTAACTTCCAATTACCGTTTCTAACCATCCAGCCATTGCTATTATGCAGTTTGAGTAAAGCTAACATGTCTCCATATACGATTTTCATAACAACAACGAACAAACTAAATCACTTTGAATAACTGTAATAAGGTTTAACTATCATTATTTTTAACTCGTAGTCCCTACTTGGTTGGGATCTCTTTCAATCAAATAAATGGTATTCATTTTCTCTACTCACGGTAAATTCGAAAAGTGAAAACATTAAACAAGAGAAGAAGAAAGAGTGACTAACCTAGATCATCAGCACCACATTTGGCAGAATGAACTCTGTCAGGGCAATAACACTTGAAGGTGTACTCGTCTGGATCGAAGCCGCACCTCCCTCCTGTGCTGTTGCACACGGTGCAGCTACTTGCCGTCCATGTCAGCAAGAACCCTTTTCTCAAGGCTTCTTCAACCCCTCCTATTCCATCTTCCACAACCGTATCCACAAACCCATCCCTGCAATTCTGCGCCACAAAGCTTATATTTGTATCCCTTTTATCCAATGCCAAAACTGAACTCGTTTCGTTTTCTGCATAACACCCAACTCTGTGCTCGTGAAGCGAAGTTGCGTCACAGCCGTAGAACAATACCATGTCCTTTTGATTCGGAGCAACACGGAACACGTTACTAGGAGGAAGAGTGAGATTCTGGGTAGGAGAAAGACAACCTTTGGTGGTGTTCGATTGCGAGATTGAGAACGCAGCATTGGACACTCGCAGGGACTGATTTTGGTAGAAAATCTGATGAATGAAGTATTGAGTGAGAGAGAGATTGAGGAAAGGGATGCCATCTGGGGCACAAGAGATTTGAAAACCAGGGTAACCACAATAAGGTTCTTGTGTTCCTTGGATGTAAAAAGGATAGCTTATAGTTTGGTTGCTGTTGGGGCAAGATTTGGGTTCACATGCATCGAATTTAGGGTCGACAAAACAGGAGGTGATTTGGGCAAGAAGACAGAAGCTGATGATGTAGGAATGGATGAGGGGAGAAGAGAGGGGTTTGAGGATAAAGAAGAGGGTGTTTTGGTTCATTTTGGAGGGTTTTCTTTCTAGATGTGGATGGAGGAGATCATTGAAGAGAGTTGGTTATACCAAAAAAGTATGAAAAGTGTGATTATGGCCGCCTACGGCTACGGGTTTGACCTTGAAAGATGGAATCGAGTGGGATGGTTCTGACATCTTTGAGTGAAAATGAAATGTCTAGTTGTCTCTGCCACTTATCTTTGAATTCGTCGTCTCCACAGACACTTACCAATTTTAAAAAGGGAACCAGTTGAAAAAGTTGACCACATTCCCACTCTCTCACCACTTGTTTAATTGATTTGGACTTGGACTCGGCTTTGGCTAGAGGGAAACACCTTAGATACCGAGAAAGATTAATGCCTTTTAACTGCAGAAATTTCCAAGTTGTTATGCTAATCTTGACAACAGAATCCTCCTGTAATTTAAAATTTCCATAAATAAAGATAAAACTTGGATGCTTTGACAGTAACGTTTTCATAGTAAAATTATAATTTTATTTTAATCATTTATGCTGATTTATAATATAATATAATATAATTGGTGGGAAGTTTTTATTTTCATTAAATAATAATGTATCAAATAAACAATTATGTTCATATATACAACTTTAAAAAAAAAAAAAAAAGTAAAAAAATACATGATAGAAAGAGAAGTGTTGGATGAGATAATAACGGAGAATGGTGTTACAAAAAGTACTGTAAAATAGTGTTATGTGAATAATAAATTATTTATGAACTACCTGTTACCTTTCTACAAGATCTCATATTTAGTGGAGCACTGCATGTTGAAAGAACATACCACTTTAAAGTTTCGTTACTTTTTTGTTTAATTTCCAAAAATGCCTATCATTAATAATCATGGCCACTTTAAATTGTTGTCCTTGTGTACGTCTGATTTGGCAAATTGTGGTTAATTAATACATTATGTGGTTAATTCACATAAAATAATATATTCTTCTTTTATAGTAATTACTACTTTGATTTAACTTTCGGCCTCTGCGTTCACCAATTTTTATCGTGGATGAAAATGAATAATGTGAAGGATTAAGGAGATTTTTATTGGATTAACTTTAGTGATTGTGGGCCAAATCTAAAGTGTAGCATCTTAAATATGGCCTAACCTTTTGACCGAAGAAAAAAAGCAACTAAACTGGGCCTCTGACTTGTATATAAATTATGGACAATGACGCACATTTGACCCAAAACAAAGGAAAATCAAATGATACATACAGATGGGTAAAAGGCCAAAACTCCTCGTACGACATTTGATCCCACAGGGGGAGGTTTGAACCCATAATTGGGTAATACAATTTCATTGTCACGTGTTGTTCCTGCTAGAAATTTTATGTTGGAACCAATAAAAAAATAGAATAAGAAACAATAATTTTATTATATGAAACAGATTCTGATCAGATTACTTGGTAGGTAAGTGTGTTTCAATGAAGTTATTGGATGATACATACCCTTCATCCCCACGTCAAAACCTTCTCTCCCTGATACATTTAGAGCTTCTGAAGAAAACAAAAAAGACAATTTTTTTAAATTTTTCAAAACTTTTCTTATTTATTTTTCATTAAAAAAAGTGATTAACAATACCAAGTTATGCTTTAATCTTCTACTATTTTCATAAATATTCTCCAACTCTCAAATCAAGAACAAAAACTTGTCTTTCCTTCAAAATTCTTTTGTCAAACATGTCAACTGTTTATGGCTAATCACAAGATTTGACGAAACAGTAGTTTCGGGCATGGACTAAAAAAAATTGCTTCTTGCCTTTCCACGTTCAGAGCAATCTCTGGTTTCACAATGATCGTAGGCTGGGTTTTGTACATTTTCTACGTTCAAGTTGTTTATTTTGTAAATGTTATGAATTTTCTTTATTTGACTTAAAGATGCGTGCATTTTTCTTGAAATTATTGTGGGAAAAAAATAAAACAGGTTAGTTTATATAATTAAAATATTACATATAAATGAGACAAAAACGCTCCAACGGTAGGAGGGTTTATTTGTTCAAAATTTGATGGTTGAAAACATGATGGTCCAATGTGAATATGAATGATTCCAAATGACCCGATGCTAGTGTTCAGCACAGAATAAAAGTTGTGTCCTTATGGGAGCATTTCACCTCCATTTTCCACCACACTTTCTCAGAATACAACCACACGTACAAAAACAAATTCATGAAAGCCCTTCCTTTGTCGTATACTTGATGCGCATTACTCTATTTACCAAATTGGATTTTGCTTGCAAAATTACTATTATAGCAAAAGAATGGAAATGTAAATATTATCATGTTATATTATATATGGTGGTGGTGACTGATTATAGTAACTAGTCATTGATAGATAAACCAGATTCTGGCTCATGTAGTCAGAAACTAAAAATAAAAACACATTCTACCAGGGAACACGATTTGGTATAAAATTATAAAGTGATTTAAATTACATTGAACACGATTTGGCCTAACAAATTAAAAAGAAAAGATAATTATAATAAATATAGTACACATGGACCACATCTTAATCTTCACAAGCTATGGTGTGTCTCGTGTGACAAATCAACCGGAGACGTTGAAGGAGAAGATAAAAAAGGTTTGGGTGGAAATTGCAATAATTCAACTCTATTTTCTAACATTTCCACCACGCTGCTTATGGTTGGTCGAGTTGAAGGGTGGGTTTGTATGCACCATAAGCCTACTATGGCCATTTTCCTCATCATTCTGTCATCACTTTCATTTTTTACAATTTGTAAATCAAGATCTTGATTTGATTCAAGTCGATCATAAATCCAATAAGGAAAATATAATTCACTCGAACGATCGACTTCAACCTTAATATTCTTTCTTCTTCCAACCATTTCTAAGATCATCATTCCATAACTGTAAACATCTGATTTAAGTGACACAGCACCAAAATTCCTGGAAAAAACTTCTGGAGCAATATAACCTGCAGTTCCTCTAGCACCACTGATGGATACCACACTTTCTTTTCTTGGACATATTTTTGCAAGTCCAAAATCCGAAATTTTTGGACTAAAATCGTCATCTAATAATATGTTGTGAGGTTTTATGTCAAAATGCAAGATTCTAGTGTTGCACCCTCTATGTAAATACTCTAATCCACGAGCAATGCCAACTGCAATATTATACAACATTTTGCAATCCAATTGATGAGCAATCTGCAATGGATTTTTCTCTTCGTATATGAACTTGTCAAGAGATCCATTAGGCATAAACTCATATACTAGAGCACGTTTAGAACTATCAAAACAAAATCCCAGAAGTCTAACAATGTTAACATGTGAGGTCCTACTAATACTTGCCACTTCATTGATAAATTCTTCTCCGTTGCCTTTTGATTCACCTAAAATCTTCACTGCAACAACACGTCCATCATGTAACTTCCCTTTATATACGCTACCGAAGCCTCCTTGCCCTAATTTGTTTTTAAAAGAATTGGTCATTTTCTTAATCTCTGAATAATTGTGTCTCGTTATAGGAAGAGGTCCATGTTCCTTCAAAAACTCCTCAATAACATGATGAGTTGGATTCTCTCTCCAAAATAAAAGAGACGAGGGAAAGAATATCTTTGTCCTAAACCACCAAGTCAAGACCACCACCACTACAATTCCAACAACCCCCACTGAAGCTGCTGGACAATTTGTAATATAAATGGAAAATGTTCAACGTAAGTAACGACCAATATTTATAAGTCACAACTTGTTAAAAATTTTGATAAATTATTTTGAACAAAACCAATCTAACGTACAAATCTATCTAATACTTAGATTCATGCTTAAATGGTGAGCTCTTGTATTATAACACGATGATGCAACTGAACTGAGTGTGTTTGTAGTGTAGTACCTATTTTCACTGTTGTGGTAATTTTCCTTTTGGTTGTCCCTGCAGAAGATAACAAAGAAAAATATAAGCAAATTTGAAAAGTTGTATATATTATTTACATTTAAATAAGTTTTAAGTATGTAATATATCACATTTTTTTAGCATTTAATAATTTTTTCGTGTTGTATGCTTGACTAGAACTATATATATATATACTCTTCATAAAAGTTATATCTTATTCAAAATTCATACAGCCAACCCAGAATCTCTTGATATCACAAAATCTCTAGTCATCTGAATTACGTGTTATTTGTTAACCAGATGGATTGAAGAATTGGAAATGCATCTTGTGAAGTTTGTGCCTTTGAGCACAAAAATCATCTTCATATTTTTATGATTGGCTATATATATTGAGAAAAAACATAAAGAAAAAAATTAGGAAAGCATTAAAGAGTGAATGAATCGGACAGTATTTTTTTACTCTATTTTTCATTTATTTTTATTATAATCTTTAAAGCCTCTTCCCATCTATTTTTTATTTTTCTTTCACCGAACATCTTTAATTATTCTTTATTTTTTCATTTATTATATTTTTTCTCCCCTTAATCCTTATAAAAATTAATTTGAGAAGAATATTAAGATTAAGAATATAAGTTTGAAAGTGGATAGAGAAGAAGGAAATTGAAAAGGATAAGAGGATTCAAGATAAAATATTAAAAGAGGAAAATCAGAGAAATTGAAGTTATAAGAGAGTTGAAATAAAATAAGCGAGAAAAAAAGAGTCAAGGTGCTTCAATTTTGAGTGAAAGGCATTTGTGGTTCAATTTTGAGTGAAAGGCATTTGTGGCACGAGAAAATCGAGCGATCAGAAAATTGAGGAAAAGATAAAATGATAGGAGAGAATTTTAGGAAGATTATTACCATGAGAATTACAAAGAATTAAGTAGAGTACAAAACGCTTACAACTTTATGACATCACAAGCAGTTACAAAATATTATATGAGGTAACGAAAGTAAAAAAAATAGTGATGACAAATTGTATTGTATTAAATGATGTTAAATTATTTTAATAAAATTCTTTGTAATTTATTATTAATTTCTTTACTAATTTTTCTTTTATTTTTAATAATTTAGATTTTGAACACTTTACATTTTTCTATAATTCTTAAGTATTTAAGTAATATATAAAATAATATTAAAAATCTGAATTTATCAAGCAAAACTATAAATATCTTTATCAAATGAATAAGAAAAATCCATATTTAAGTAATATTAAAAATAATATTAAAAATATAAATTTATCAAGAAAAAATTATAAATATCTTATTAGAGAAAGATCCATAACAAATGTTGACCTCGAGAAACATTAATCATCATATTTCAAGTTTAATTGAAATATTCTGAGGATTGAAAAAACAAAAAGAATTAACAATGATAAGTGGTGAGTATCGATTAATTTTTAACACGAAACAATTTTCCTACAACAAATTACTAATGTAAAATGATAATTGTCACAATTAATACCCAATTGTTAAAATCATATTTCCGCAATTTTCTCACTTTCTTATTTATTTAGAGTAATGTTAGGCGAATTTAATTTAGGTATGCAAGTAATTGGTTTTTAGCTTAGTTAATCATACTGAGAGGTTACATATATGTTTTTCCATTGAAATTGTTGTAGAATGAAGATTGGAAAGAGAAAGTAAGTTGGAGCATAACTCCTGAAACACAAAATTGGAACAATGAAGAAGAATTCACTCATATTTAACATATTAGCGAGGCATGTGTATCAAAAGAGAGAAGAAGAAAGACTAACATGGTGGATCATCAGCACCACATTTGGCAGAATGAGCTCTGTCAGGGCAATAACACATGAAAGTGTACAAATCTGGATCGAAACCACACCTCCCTCCTGTGCTGCTGCACACGGTGCAGCTACTCGCCGTCCATGTCAGCAAGAACCCTTTTCTCAAGGCTTCTTCAACCCCTCCTATTCCATCTTCCACTACCGTATCCACAAATCCATCCCTGCAATTCTGTGCCACGAAGCTTATATTTGTATCTCTTTTATCCAATGCCAAAACTGAACTCGTTTCGTTTACTGCATAACACCCAACTCTGTGCTCATGAAGTGAAGTTGCGTCACAGCCGTAGAACAAGAGCATGTCCTTTTGATTCGGAGCAACACGGAACACTTGACTTGAAGGAAGAGTGAGATTGTGGGTAGGAAAAAGACAACCTTTGGTGGTGTTCGATTGCGAGATTGAGAACGCAGCATTGGACACTCGCAGGGACTGATTTTGGTAGAAAATCTGATGAATGAAGTATTGAGTGAGAGAGAGATTGAGGAAAGGGATGCCATCTGGGGCACAAGAGATTTGAAAGCCAGGGTAACCACAATAAGGTTCTTGTGTTCCTTGGATGTAAAAAGGATAGCTTATAGTTTGGTTGCTGTTGGGGCAAGATTTGGGTGCACATGCATCGAATTGATGATCGACAAAACAGGAGGTGATTTGGGCAAGGAGATAGAAGATGATGACGTAGGAATGGACGAGGGGAGAGGAGAGGGGTTTGAGGTTAAAGAAAAGGGTGTTTTGGTTCATGTCGGAGGGTTTTCTTTCTAGTTGTGGATGGTGATCAACGAAGACAGAGAAGAGAAAAATATTAAATCAAAGATTGTGAAAGTTCAACAAGTTGACCAACTTCTGACTGTCTAGGTCTAACTCTCTTGGCTTGTGAGTAGTTGGGAGGACATTAGGAAGTAACAAATATTAATGCGTTTTAAGTTCTGAAGTATCCTACTTCTTTAGCAAATCTTTACAACAAAATCCTCATCTTCTATATCTATGAATTAGAAACCATTCTATTATAAATACATTTTATCTAAGTTGCTCATAATTTGTATGAGTTCTTTTATATATTTTTTTTCAATTTTTGTTTAAATTGATTTTAATTTATAAAAAATCTCTTTTTTTCTTATTTATTTCTTCTAAAATACTTTTAAAGGAATTTATTCAAACAATTTCCTTATATAAAACAAAATAAAAAGTAGTGTCAAAATTATTATATAATAGAAAAATATTTATATTAATTTAAGAAATTATAAATTAATTATTATTTAAAGATTTACCGATAGATTCTAATATAATATTAAAAAATAATATAAACCTAATTTAATTTTCTAGATTTAACTTATAAAATAAGATTTACATTTTATTTCTATATTTTAATAAAATATGTTTAATAGAACAGATAGAGTGGTTTTTTTAATAAACTTATTTGATTTTAAAAATATAGAACAATGAAAACGGAATTGAAATATCTTTTCTTCTGGGTCTCATTTCTAGTAATTTTTAAATTATGTAGACAATTTTTTTTCTAAAAAATTTAAATTAATTTTTTTTCTGTACTTAATTTTTGTCCCTTTCCTTCTTTTTTTCTTCCAAATTTCGTTCTCGAGTGTTTTTGACTGGTCAAAATTGGACGCAACATATTAAAGTGTACTGGTTTGGGTTAGCAATGGCCCAATCAAATTGGTGGAACAAAGTTACATATCCAACGTCCATGAGGACTGTTCAAAACAAACAAGATACGAATGTTCAACGTTGTAATATATATATATATATAATATGAGCATGTGACGGAACATTATTTATTATGTTATCTTTTTTGTTACTAAATTACGATATTATCTGCTGGTTATTCCATTGAACTTAGTAATTATTTGGATGCGTGTGCTGCACTTACACGTGAACCACTTTTAGACTATTTACCAACACATCTTTCAAATTTTATATTACCTCTCACACACACCGACTGATTGGTGGTACGTTGTGAAAAATCTAAGATTACGTTAATTGATTTTTAATTAATTATATTTATTATAAAGAAAAATATAATCAATTATTTTAAAGTTGTTTATTAAAAAAGTATTAAAATAATACAAATATTAATAAATATTAAAATTAAAATTTATTTTAATTTATGTTGATTATATTTTAAGCCATTTAATCTCATTTAATTAACTATGATTATTAATCATTTCATTCAGTAATTTAAAATATTTTTATTTATTTTATTTCTAAGAAAAAATCTTACCATCAATGTTTTTAATATTTATAAGATAACAATACTTGAAATATTAATATAAATAATAATTTTTAAAGATTCAGATACCCACACGATGTTCATAAAGTTATGTACAACTCATTAAATAAATACTATCTCACAAAGTATATTTAAAATAAAATATTTATTTTAATAATATATATATATATATGGAATATTGTTTATTATGTTTATAAAATAATATTATATGATTTAATTAATTCTTTCTCTTTTATTCTCTTTATAAGTATAGGAATTTTTTCTTATTTTTATTTATGTAATTAACACATCTATTTTATTTATCTCGTCTAAGTTTTATTCCTAATCTAAACAGAATGTAATAGCAAAATTTTGTAATCACGTTTTCTTTCTATTTAACGTATAATCCAAGCAAAATAACAATATTTTTATTTGAAAAAAATGGCATTACTTAAGATTTTGTACGGGGTTTGATGAATCATTCGATGTGATATTTAAATTGTGATAGTTAAAATGTAGTTATTTTCTGAATTTACTAAGATAGGAATTTTAAAGTCAGATGAACCTCTGGAAATTTGAATATTTGTTTTATTAACGACCAAACAAATGGTACTGGATGATAGACGCAATATATATTCTTCACTAAACCACAAGCAAGCGTGTGATTAACACGTCCCAACAACTCAACCTCGTCCACATGTTATATATGTTTTTGTTTGACATGTTTCGCTTCTGTGATTTTTGGCAATATATGGAAATGGGTAGAAAAGATAACGATGAAAATAAAAAAGAAGTTTAAATTGAATAAATTCAATAATTAAACTTAACGTTAATTAAACAAAAGATTAAAATTTATGGATTATTATTTACTATATCAGTAAAAAAAACTATTGATTATAAAAAAATCAATATAAAATTTAATAAAGTAGCATTGGAATATAATTTGAAATAAGAAAAATTTTGTAATTTTTTTATTATTTGAATATTTTTTATTTCAATTATATATATATATATATATATATATATATATATATTTGTTTAAATTTAATTAGTATAAACGCGCATGGTTCCATCTTTATAAAAAAAAAGAAAAAAATGTATGTGTAATTATATATATGATATTTTAATGTATATAATATTTTTTATTAAAATAAGAATAATTATTTTATAATAAGTTATGATTAAAATATTTTTTCATTTTTCATGTTTAATATATATATATATATATATAATCCTAAAATTATATGTATGTATAATTAAAATTCATACAATAATTTAAAAGAAATATATATATATATATATAATAATAATAAAAAAATAAAATAAATCTACTGAAAATAAATTAATAATTTAATTTAAGAATTTAAAATTTAATATAAAATAACGTAATTTAAATTCAAGTACTTATATATTACATAAAATCACATCACACTAAACAAAAAAACTAGATATTAAATTAGACATCGAAATATGTATTTATTACACAATAAGTGTTCAAGTGGTTAACACAAGAACACTCAACTTGGTATATATATTATCACCTACTTAAGTTCAATTTATAAATAATTTATCAAGACACAATATCTTTTACAATATAAGTTATGTCGTTATAAACTTTTTTCAACTCTCACCACCTAGTCATTTCATTTACATAATTTCAATGACCAAGTAGAGTTATAATATCTTCTCGAGTCTCAAATTAATATTCATACATTACGTTTTGATAATTTTCATATTATAATACAATATTTTTCAAAACATATAATCGGATTTAATACACCTCATTTAATGTTCTTACCCTGTATTTTAACATTTTAAGTCACATACATATCATTTTTCACATTGTAACAAAATATAAAATTGTTCTTATTTAACTTTTGCTTACTCTTTTGATGATACTTTTTTGTATACATCTTTTCTTATTAATTCTTATTTTATTAAATTTCTTATTTTTTAGATTTCAATTTCCATATTTAATCTGAAATAAAAAAAAACTATTTTTTATGTTTTTTTAAATAATTGAGTGAATTTAAAAGTGTTTAGTTAATTCAATTTTATTAAGCAAAATTTGAATGACTAAACGAATTATACAAACACTTTTAATATTCATTTTTGTCAAAAATTCACTAAATAAAATAGAATTTCACTAAGTGAAAATTTCACAAAATTCAACTGCCAACATTGGCCCTAATCTCGTGAACGAATTTAAAAGTGTAGAGTGAAATTTGAGTATTTCGACACTATCTTAAAATGGCTGAGAAAAATTAAATATGGTAGGTGGATTCTTATTCGTAAGTAGGCTACATAATCTGCCCAACACAATTTTTAACATTCAAAATCAAATTAAATATAAACATGATTCTCCAAATTGTAAAACAATTTCCTAAATTCAATATAAGTTCAATATATTCAAATAAAATACTATTATTTTCAATCTCATAAAATTTAATTATACATTCGCATCCAATATTCAATTTCAATAATCACAAATCAACACAAATACAATAACACAATCTAATATCCTATAATTCAAATAATGTAACAAAGTCATATTCACATTCTAAATCTTCTAGTTTAGGCATTAGTATAAAAACAACAAAAGATGACGTATTTTAATAACAATTATATATGATTTATCATTTAAAAAGGTGCAGTAACACATTTTAAAAATATTTTTAATTTTTAATTAATATTCATTTATAACCATCGTCATATGTGATATATGATGGTTATAAAAGAACCATCATTGTATATCTAACTTTATAATCGTTGTTGTATCTCACGTATGACAATAGTTACAAAATAATCATCATTCTATATCTCATTGTATTTCTTCTCTGCAACTTAATCTCTCCTTTTTTTTTTTCTCTTATTCTTCTTCAACTATTCTCTTGGATGGATCATTCGTGATATCTACCTAAAGTTATGTGGTAAGTTTGCATCTTTTCCCTCTTTCCTTTAACTTTCCTTATTTTATTGTTTATTTTTCTTTCTTTGACTAAACATGATTCTCCGTCACAATTTTTTTTATTGTGTAGGATGAGTATGAAATGAAAGACCAGTCGGAGATAGGAAATGAATATGAGGTAGAAGACACACAAGACGGACAATGAGTACGAAGTGGAAGAAGAGTATGAGATGGAGGATGAATAAAGGTGGAAGACGGGTAAAGAGCATTAAAACCTTTTGGATTTATTTTAGAGGAGCAAAATCTATTACGGCGATGTACTTTTTGTTAGAAAATAGTGGAACATTCTAGATCTGTTAGACAAAACAAGATCTACTATAATGAAGTAAGATTTGAGACAATGAACATATCATGTTGGTTATATTTATAATTATTGTCGTATTAGTAACTTACAAACATGAGTTATAATCATTGTCAAATTTATAAATTTTGTCGTTGAATCATTTGTTTATAATAATAAAAATATTATGAAAATTGAAATATAACTAACTTTTTAAACTTAATTTTAGAGTTTTTAATTAAAAAAAAGTAAAAAAAACTCCTCATATCATAAGAAGTCAAATTCTACTA